CACAGTTTTACAAAAAAAATTTCTAAAAAACTCATTCTGGTCAACTTCTGAAATGGGTTTCGTCAGTTTCTATTATAAGAAGTTTAGAATAAAATCATATCTTGTGTAAATTTAATGTTAATTGCTCACATATGGCAAAAATGGTGGGTGCACTCACCGTGATACCGATCTGTTTTGGCGTCAGTAATGATAACAAACCAATGTTTTTCTTCAAGCCAGAAGGCGCTACAAAATGATTTGATAATATCATTGCCTAAATCACGGCATCCATTCATCTGGAACTTGAACTGAAAGCTAGAGAGGCCAGGTAGATATCTTGTGAGAAACTTTTCCCATTGATTTCCATTAGCCACGTCTTGATTAACTTGCAGTTCGAGATTTAAATGTTTCAATTGTGTCAGAGAGTTCAATTGCTGTGTCAAATAGCTGAATGACAATTGACCAGTGAAAGCGCGAAGGCCTAAAAGCAGGAGGAGGGTCATCATAAAACAGGAGAAAGAAAAAACAATTTGCTCACTTTGAGATTTCTTAGATTTTAGAAAAATTGTCTGTCTTAACTACCCAAAAACCAAAACTAATGAGCAAAAAAAAACGTTTTTGGTTTAGTTTCCGAAGGAGTCTGCAGACCTATCCACCAGTTTTCAAATCCAAACTGCCAAACAGGAGAAAGTAAATCGGTCCGAAATGAAAGAAAGCCAACTCAAAAATCGGAGAAAGTTCAGTCATTTTTTTCCAAAAGCAAGATGGGTGCCCTCCCCTAATCCCCGCCCCCTCGCTCGCGCCGCCACTGCAATTGATCTATGAAAACTTACCTAAATATCAAAATTCAAACCGACAAGACAGACCTGGAACATTTTTGCACAGATCTGTTTTTTCTCATTAACAAATGATCATACGACCTTTTGTGAAACATGATTACTATTGAATATTAAGATACACAGTAAACAAGTTACTCTCTTTCTCTCTTCTCCTGAATGTGACAGATATTACTCGTACTGTGTCTGTCAAGTCTATGTTGGGCTTATTAGAGTTTTATGGATCGCGATACAAAGTTTTTCTGTTTCGACTTTAGCAGCAAATTGAACTGCTTTTTTGGTATTAATTTGTGGTTTTGAAGATCTACTATGTTTCACATTCCAGTTTAATAGGAACTGCACTGATAGTTTTTGAAAAACATAAATAGCTGGTGTCACGTTCATACAACGAAAACGGTTACAGTCAAAAGAAAAGATCGCTGAAACAACTAATAAATACCTTTCTTCTCTTTTCTCGCCTTTCCAGGAGAAGAACAGATTAAATACATTAAAAATATATTCTAATCAGGTTCCAACTATAATTTTTTAATAAATGGAACGACTAACATATCAGTATGAATTCTCAGGTGGAACGATATGCAGACGGATCGCATATTGGCCGCAATAGTAGGCACAGTAATATGACTCATTTTGATTGACGTGAATTCTTAGATGTTTCCGATATTGATTATTGTTCTTTCCGTAATCCTCAATAAAAAGCTTATTCGTTTCAGAAAATTATTTGCAATCATAGTTGATATTAATCACTTATGTTTCGATCTATTTTAGGAAATATAAGTCAGACTGTGGATCTTGTCATAACATTCAAAAGTGAAGCTAGATTTTATTTTTCCCAAGTGAATCTCTAGTGTGTAATCGATTATTACTGAGACATATCTTTAGAGACTGCGACTTAGTTTAAGACTTTGAAGCAAACTTACTGCATGAATCAACGATGGTGAGTTTAGTGAGACTCTTTGGCAATCCATCGAGCTCAAATAAATTGCGATCGTCGAACTTGATAAAAAGACTTTTGAGTTGAGGCACGAGTGAACAAATCTGTCGGATCTCATCATTTGTACATGCATCAATTGCTAAGTGACGCAATTGATGAAGTGGCGTTTTTAGGAATTCCAAAAACGGATGAATGTAGTAAGATGTAGAGTCCTGAGCAAACTCTAGATGAAGTGGCGTTTTTAGGAATTCCAAAAACGGATGAATGTGGTAAGATGTAGAGTCCTGAGGAAACTCTAGATTTATTCCCGTGTTGCGAATTCTCTCAGCACCAAGGATGGTTATTGATTTAAGTAGATCCACGCATGGTAAGCGCGTAAGAATCGACGACAGAGCAACAGATTCACCTTTAAGCAAAGCTAATGAGCGAAGATTCTTCATTTGTTCAATCTGGACAGACTTATGAAACAATTCCATTTGGCCGCACGATCGATCAGAATCCGATAATGTGAGTGCGATTATTTGTTCGGGCTGTACCATGCAACATAAATGATCAAACACGTACCTAGACACGAACCGCATATTAAGCCGTACAGGATATTTTATCAAAGCATCACTGAACCGACTTGTAAGACCACCAAATGCACGGAATATGTCATAGGTTGATAGACAGTCAAAAATTTCGTAGAGAACTTCTATAGGGAGAGATTCCAAACACGAACACACCATCATGGTCTAATAATGTACGATGATTAACTAAAAAAAAGAGAAATTACTATTTATCTGCTATAATATAACTTTTTCATGGCAGCTGACAACACGGCAATATATCAGGATACGAAAACAATAAAGTGGAATAAAATATTGTTATTATTGCTATCGATCCTTTTTGTTCTTTATTCTTCTTTCATAAAACAAGAATCATCGTTCTCTTCTCAATATTCACTCCTTAAATACTCAACGTTATCAGTAGTACGTGAGAAAATGAAAGAGAATTAGTATTCTTTATAGCATGTGATATAGCATGCCATAATACTTCCCCTTCCCACTGACAAAGAAAAAGAAAAAACAATATGACAAGAACGGAAACACTAAAAAAAACGACTGAAATAACGAGTACATAAAGATATAATAAAACTCAAAAGTAGAATAATAATCGCAAAAGTTTTGAAAGAAGATCAAAGTATTTCATGAAGGAGATAATCAGAATAAAAAGAAATGTAATCACCCAATAGTGTACAAATGAGATATAAACAAAAAAAAGAAAAAAACAAATAAAATGGTATGCAACAATGGATATAAGTCCAACACCACCAACTATAAGTTATTGTGAATATACAAGTTCATCTCGACGAACATTTATTATGAACATAAAATATTAGAGAACTGCTAAGCATTCAAACCACTCTCGATCTTCCGTGTTGGGTATGGGTGTATGTACCTGCTTTATGCACATCTATACCCACACCCACAAGTATTATAAACGTATAGTATCTGTAGTGGTGTGTTGTAATCGCTTTTATTACAAAATAGAAAAGTGAATTGAAAATACTTAATTGTTAGATACGAAAAGACAATAAAGAAACTACTGATTCTGTTTATAATATGTATACTTCTGCGTGTCCATTAGATCACTCTGGGTATAAATCTTTTAGTCTTTGACGCATGTTCAGTCCATTTTTTGCCGAATGTCTTTTTTAACTCTTCTTCCTCACGTATTACACGTTTTGTGAGACCCAATGCCAATAATATGCAAGATGTTAAACATCCAACAGGACCAAACAGAATCTGTACCCATCTCTTATCTGGAAAAAAATTTGTTAAACGTTGTTGAATAAGCATTATTCCAATCATCATGATAAAGGCGAACGTGTATGATGGATGGCGTACATAAGCATATGGACCAGTCTTGATTAGCTTATGTGAACTACGAATAGTAACTTCAAAGGTGAAAAATGCTCCTAGCGTTCTAAAACACCAAACTCTCCCCAAGCCGCCTAGGATCATACAGATGTATCCAAGCACTGACATCGGTGTAAGAGGCAGGCAGTTAATAACTGTTGATATTTGGGGGAAAAATGTTAAAATTGTAGCTGGTGAAGAGGCTTGAAGATATAGATATAATCCTTGGTATAACGTCGAACTCCATATGAGAGCTTGAGCAATCTTAGGTACAATGGACACTATATATGATGATACACCAAAACCTTCATCTGCTACGTAATCACTAGTAGAGCTCAAATTTGGGTTAGTGGTACCAAGGTGGACAAGCACAGTTGAAAGAATAAGTAGAAAAAGTTGGAGAAATGGAAACATCTCGTCAGATATACTTTGTATGTAAATTTGAAGTGAAAAGGACATTTTTTTCTTTTTCACACATCTTTATATCTTCATTTCGTTATCATCTTTATCTTTTCTCTTTATTTGTTTCTGCTACGCAATATATCAGTGCTAGGCAAGTATTAATGCTTTGAGTACGAATACGAGTACTTCGAGTATTTTGCCTAGCTCTGCAATAGATACTAGATGTCTTTTTCTATACTGTGCAGAAAAAAGAAGCTGGCACATACATCCATGTGTATGTGTGAGTTTAGGTAAACGAAGGGCGGATTTATATCCACATCCACACCTGCAGCCACCCTCAAGAGAAAAGATAAAACTTAATTTAGTTTGTACATTGGTTGCTATTAAGTTAAGGCATTTCATCAACGTTAAAAACCAAGTACCTATAAGACTGATTTAATTTAATTTTTGTTGAATATTTTCTTATGATTGTTTAAGTGCACATAATCACTTCCTATTAACTTTATTTAGTTTCAAAGGAATACAGCAATAGAAATCTGTTCCTTTTTTTTATACAGACTACATTGAACATATACGCAGGGGAACTATTGTTGACGCCAAACTTAAATATTATGTTTCATATAAAATATTTTTAACAACAAGTACTTTTATATTAACATTATAAGAAAAATATTTTTCTCAAGTTGCATTATTTATTTAACAAATATGACTATATTTACTTTTACACGTGTAACATTTATATTTTGCCCAGCAACCAATTTAATTTTATTCTTTTTATCTCTTGGTATGGTTTCACTTGCAAGAAAAGCATGTTGTCAATTGTGTAAAAGCAAAAGAAAAGATCAAATTTCCTAACTAATAAATTGATTGTATTGTATTTTATTTTTCTTCTATTCTTCTTGTAACTTTTCTGATAAGAATCTTTTTAAGTTCAATTATTCATCAATAATGTTTGATAAATCACATTTTAAAACTCGATCAGTAAGAAAATCAACTTTGATTTTTTTTATGTAACTAATTTTTTTTATTTTCTTTTCTATTAGTTTGATATTTTACCTATTGTTCGAAATTTTTTCAAACAACCAACAGGCGAACGTAATATAACCAATATTGATAAGGTATGTGGAAAAAGCATATCAAACTATGAAACAAGAATAGAAATATGAGAAGATTGATCTTCGATAATAGACAATAGTGAAACATTAATTAAAATTTACAACAAAATAATGTTTTTTTCTTCTATAATAAATAAATTATTAGATTTTTCTTGTTAGTCTTATTTTGTTGCTAATGCATTATTGATTATTTCAACAAAAATAGTAAAAAAAACATGATTATAATGGAAAGGAAGAAAATGAACACTTATTATAAAATTTTCTTTTTGCTCAATGAGTTACTTTACTCATCTTGTGAACTATAAATAGACAAAACTTCGTTGAAAAATTATATTCATATCCAATTAGAGTGAAAAGAATTATGGAGAATATTAAAACTTCTGTTCTTAAATGATTCATTTTCAGAAAATAGGACTTGACGCGTAATTTGGTCTTCAGACATTCGTATCTATTGCAAGGGGGGAAAAGCGAGACTTCTTCTACTTCAAAACTTTTTGAAGTACGATAGGAGTACAGAGAAGTACGATGGGAGTACATAGAAGTACAAAGGGAATACAGAGAAGTACAATGGGAGTATAATGGGAGTACAAGGAAGTACGATGGTAGTACAGATGAAGTACAATGGGAGCACAATGGGAGTACAATAGGAGTACAGTAGGAGTACGATGGGAGTACAAAGGAAGTACGGAAGTAGATGAAGTCTCGCTTTTTCCCCCTTGATCTATTGACATATATAGTTGTCATATTCCTTACTAACAACGAATATAAATGTATCATTCACATTAATTCGTTAGATGAACCCAGACTTTATGTCAATATAGAACTTCTTCTCAACAAACTCAGTAAAAAGTTAAAAATACATATACAAGTTTCGGTTCTTTTCACAGTCGTTTCTTAGAAAGAAGATGTATTCCTAAATGAAAAGCTCGATCAGATATAAAATGGTATTATTCAATTCAAATTCATATCTTTATTCAGATAGTATGACCAGGAGAAAATGATTTTGTTAAAGTTAAATATTCCTCACATCGATACATTCATTTCTATATTAAGATTCGAAGATGTTTAGCTGATATCAAACCATTTTCACGGTTAGCAATTCCATTACAAAATCACATATTACAAGAAGCATGGTATGAATGGTAAATACTCATTTTATTTTCTTTTCTTTTATATAATTCTAATTTTAATCATTCTTAGCTATACCGAAGGACGTACTATTATTCGACAAGGTGATTGTGCTGCTTGTTTCTATATTATTTTATCGGGTTCAGCATGTGTAATATATAAAAGAATAACAGACGATCATATACAAATAATAGATATCCTAAAACGAGGATGCACATTCGGCGTAAGAATTTAATAAAGATTTCATTAGAAAAAAAGTGAAATAATTGGTATTGAATTAAAGGAAAAAGGATTAATGACAAATTCACGGCAAATATTTACGATAACATCTAAGACAAAACTTGAATTGTTGGTCCTTTGGAAAGATGTAAATACGATTGCGTGATTAATTTAAAATAAATATATTCCCTTTTTTTTTTCTTTTTACAGGATTTCAAAGCAATTTATATGGGGAACGATCGATATTGTAGTGCAGATGATTTAAAATTTCTTAAGTAAGAAAATAAAATTTTATAGAAAATATTTATTTATCTATTTAAGAACTAATGTACCATTTCTTCGTAATTTTCCAATCGATCGTCTCAATGAATTTCCACATGCAATTCAACACTGTAATTTTAGACTATCGGAAGTGATTACTCGAGATAGTCGTCGTATGAAACATATATTTATTGTGAAAACAGGTTCACTTGAAATATGGAAACGTCTTGATCCTGATGGTGCTATATCGCAATTAAATAAACATGATTTTGAACAAATACAAAATGAAAAAAGTTTCTATTTATTATTTAGTTTTAAAACATAAATCATTTTTGTTTATTTTAGTGAATGATGCAAATGAAAATGATGATAATAATAGTATGGAAGAAATAGGAGATAATAATACATTATTTTCAGAAGTTCAACTTAGCGGTGATATTGATGCATCAGGATTAGATGAAACAACACTTGATACAGATTTACGTATTAGTCGTTTACGAAATTCAGCCACTACTGATCGAAAAAAATCATCTATTTCATTGACACGATCAAATAATATTGTTGACATTGAAAAAGTAATAGACATATATATATAATAACTTTATATTATTATTATTATTAATTTTTAAAAGCAATTTCCTGGTGTGGCTGATAAACGAGATCGATTACCATTGATTGATTATGATCAATTAGTAATAAATAATCCGAATAGTCATCCAAAACTATCACTGACACTTAATGAACCACCTAAACGTAGTCAATCGATGGTAGAAAAGAAACAACGAATTCTTCTTATTCTTATCAAATATCTTATTTGTTTTTAGATAAATAAAAAATCAAAATTAATTCTACCAGACAAAATGATTTATGTACATGTTAAAACATTAAATGAAACTCAATATTTTGTTAGTAGAATTTAATTCATTTGTTTGTTTTTTTTTTCATTTGAATTTTTTTAGGGTGTAGCAGATATGCTTTTTCCAAATCAACCATGTTTAACATTAATTAGTAATGAATGTGAATGTCTTCTTTTACTTAAATCATCATTTGTACGTATTGCACCAGATCAATATAAACAAAATATTCGTCGAGCTGAAATTCCATTACCAACAGATGCAATTTTTTATCAATCATATCATGCTAATGAAGTATGGAAACGTTATTCTAAAAAGATTTATAAAAAAACACATAAGAAAATACTTGAACAACAACCACGATCAAAACAAATAACAGAAAACAAAGGAATTTAATTAGACAATTGACTATTTCATGTTGTATACTATCTTCTCATTAATACAAATACAGACGGAATAGTTGTATACTACCATTATTCATACTTCAATTTTAGTACGATGTTTAATCGATCATTCAGAAAATAGACGAGCAAATCAAAAAGTAATCATTAGAAGTGTTTAAAATTAGATGAAATATTGAAAAAGAAGATTTATCTGAAGAGATAGAAAAGATCCGAAGGTGGTCGTATAGCAAGAGCTTACTGACATCTTTTTTTCAGTTTTACAGTATATGTAGTTGAAATAGAAATAAATCTTGGTTTTTTTATTCATTCCTTCTGTCGTTATTTGATGATTCAGTTTTTCAACTGTCAAATGATCGTTTCTTAAATTAACAGCTCAGACAGGCATATAATGAAATAATCTACAGTTAAATTAAGGTATCATTAAAGGTGCATATCAATTAATTCTCAACATAGATGAGTAACTTTGAAGAGTAAAAACAAAATGAGAAGAACAGATAGATAATTACGCAACAAACCGAAAAGACCATTAAAAACTTGACGATAGCCCTATTCCTTATTGTCTTTTCTCTTTCTTTACCTATTCATGCAAATTATTTCGTATTTCGTATTTCATATACTACTTTCTAACGTGTCAGATGCAAGCACACATGTTTATCAAACAGCATGGTTGGATTTTTTGTCAATCTAGTGTGTTTTAAAATCCTTTCTGAATCAAATTCAACTTTTCATGAGGGTACGATATGTGAGTAGTCATTTTTCCGTTTTAAACTTTCGAATCTTAGACTTGCAAGAGATTATTTAGAACAGTGTTATTAAAAAAATAATAGGAAGTACAGTTGCATTTCATCATTCTATATAGGTATGAATGAAATGAATGATTGTAGGTATTATCCAAGATGTTTCGAGATATACATATGGTTCTTGAGGGTGTGGGTATATTATAATTGTGATACTCACACCCACACCCATACTCTGAATATTTCATAGAAGAGTTGTTGTGATTTTCTACAAATTAATAATATTGAAAATCTCTTATTTTTTTTCTCTTTGAATTTAAATTTAATACAGTAAAACCTCCCTAAGATGAACACTAATGGGACCGCTTGAAAAGTATTCATTAGAAAAGGTGTTCACCTTACAGAGGTTTAATATTAAATAAAGGTTTAGATATACACCATATAATATTAGTATGGACAAATGATAGCTATGCATCTTGATATTAAAATCTATTACTATGAATTCTAAAACACTATCTTTTTCAATTATTACACATATTTATTCAATTATCAAATAAAAAATAAAAGACATTCTTTTATCCTTAAAATATTAAAGATCTATTTCGTTTTAAACAAAAACTAGTAAAAGAAAGCATTTTTGTCTATTATCCACATCTACTTATTTTTTCTAAGAAAAGTCGGTAATTGAGATACTACCGACCGAGATTTTGTACTTCGCAGTAATTGTACGATATGAAGCGTTATTTTCATTTTCATTAATTAACTGTATTTTTATAGACAAAATTAACGTGTGTGTTCTGTTTCATTCTACAATCGAAGATAGAATGCATGTTGCACTGTCACATAGAATCGATTAACTCATCGCTGATTAATCACATTGTTTTGTTTGATCCATACATACGGCAGAGCTTGTTATGATGCGTTGACCGTCAAAAACTGATTTATCATTTCCTTAATATGAACAGCATATTTTTTCAGCTCTGTATTTGATAGAAGAACGTACAGTTAATCACTATATGTTCATTATATAGAGGTTTTCTTTTACAGAAGGGACTAAAAAAAGCGTTCATTGTTCAGAGGTCGGAGGTGTTCATCTTGCGGAGGTCTATTTACAGCAAAAATCGATCGGAGGGACTGAAAAATGTGTTCAAATCGGAGGTGTTCATTATGAGAGGTTTTACTGTATTTATCATTTAATTGTCTTAGTTAAACTTATTTGATAGTTATACTAATATTCGTCCTCTTCTTTTATCATTTTTTCTGATTTGATGTTTTTTGCCTTTATTATTTTATTCTTATTTCATACTCAACAAGACATTTAACTCAATTATTAAAAAGTGAAATATAATTAGCAAAAAACTTCGAAGTGTATTTGAAAGAAGAATATGAACGATTAGATCTGATAGAAAAGTAATTATTAAAATAGATTGATATATATATATGGGTGTATCCACCGGAAATCACCAGCCGTTCTGGTGATCTTCTTCAAATTTAATGAAACTTTTAGAGCTAATAAAGCATCTTTTCGTGATCATTTTGGTATAAAAAAGTTTGATTTTTGACCCCCCCTCCCTTCAAAAGACGCAAAATACTTTTTTTTGTTTTTGTTATTTTTCGAAAAAAATGGTTTTTATTGAGAGTGTGGGTAGCTGTGGGTGTGGGTGTGGGTTGGGTGCGGATGTTCTTATCATTTATCAACCCACCCCCACACCCACACCGAAAGTTTTGATAAAAAAAATTCTATAAAGCTTTACATTAATATAAATTATACGTTAATAAAAAAAAAATGAGATGAAACTTACCTATATTTATGTGTGTTTGTTCGTATCTATACCACTATATACTACAATCTATAATATATACGTTTTCTTTTTCACCTATATATTAACTAACGGATTAAATAATCGTTTAATATCCATCTATTGATTAAAGTACATGAAAGAATATTCGAATCTCATGTAAGTTTTGGATTGAATAACATTTGAATGTATATGAATAATGCGGAGATAGACTAACCAATCTTTTAATTATATATATATATTTATTTATTTTTTATATTATTTAATGAAATATAATAAAATAAACTAATTCCGTCGATTATTTAATTTTAAAGTAAGATTGATAGATTTGATCTCTATACAAAGTTAGTATCGACCCAAAACAACGTGATTTTTCTTTTCTTTTCTTTTCGTTCTGTTTCGACTATTGATAAATATTAGAATGAAAGACAATAGAAAAGAAAAAAGAAGATATTCGTTGATATTTTTCACCTTTTTTTCATAATTTTGTAATGATAATAAGTTTTATTATAGTTTGAAAGCTTAACTATTATTTTAAAATAAAATGGAATGAAATTTTTGAACTGTTGATGTTGTTAACAAGAATAAAATATCGATGATAATAATAATTGTTTGAAAAAGCTCTAAAATATGTCTATGCAATTTAGAAATTAAGTTTATTTCTTTTTCATTAGTCTTCAGTATATTTCAATATCGTCAGAACATATAAAATTTTTATATTAAAATTGATTTTTGTTTTGTTTGTATATTCTATAGATATATTTTCTTTCTCAAATGATTTGGAAAACAATTTAGTGAACAAGATCAAACTGATTTCTATGAGAAAAACATTGAAATTAGATGAATATTTCAACGAAGAGTTGTTATGATTTTCTACAACTTAATAATGTTGAAAATGTATTAGTTTTTTTGCTTGAAAATATACTTAATATTTATTATTTAATTATTTTTGTTAAATTTATTTGATAATTGTATTAATGTTCGTTCTCTTCCTATCATTTTTTTCATTTGATGTTTTATTTTTATTACTTTGTTGTTATTTCATAGTCAATAACAGATTTAACTCAATTATTAAAAAGTAAAATATTATTATCAAAAAACGTTCGAAATATATTTAAAAGAGGAATATGAACGTTTAGATCAGATAGAAAAGTAATTATTAAAATAAATTAATATATATGTCTCAGGCAAAATTTGTTTTTCTTTCTTTGCGAAAATTTGAATTTTTTTTTTCGATCGAGAAAATTAATAAGAATTGATGAGATAAATAACATATGATTTGATTAAGAGAAACTTATTTTCAAATATTTTTATCGAGTAGACATGATATTCGCACGATCTGAAATGATAAAACTTACTCAATAAGATGAAAATAATGAATCTACTCACCTCATTTATGAAAAAAACTTTATTATCTTCTTTAAAATAGTTTTCGTTATATTTTGTTTTATACATCTATCGCACTCTACATCTGTCTAAAATTTAAAGTTATAATAACTGAATTATTTTTTAAAATTTATATAATCATAAAATCATCTTAGAATTTAGTTTAATTGTACTTAATTCTTAATTTTGCCTGACGCATATATATTCCTTTTATTCGTTATATAAATTATTTGCTTTTCATATACACGTATTTTTGCATCAGTGTATAGAACGAAAGAAAATTATAGAGGTTTTTTAATACTCGTTGCTTGCATAGTCACACTTCAATAACTTTCTTTTTATCCATATTAGATAAAAAAAATGTGGTCGATGTTGATATATACGAGACACTATACAATAAATATTATTTCATCCTTTCTTTATATCAAGGACTCAAAATTTAACATACATGCAGCAGTATGAAAGTTATTGGTGAATTCAATTCTAAGATTTAAAAGCTTTGAATAAACGATTTGTCTTTATTTTATCTATAACATTATAATATAATTATTTTTAAACTCAGAAAAAATGATTGCGCGTTTACAATTTATTCTTTGGCAATACCACTAGTATTACTACTTTTTTTTTATAAACAATGTTGATCAGCTATTTGTGTTGTCTTCATTAACGCTATTCACGGTAGAAACATAAAAAATACACAAAATTTATCATCAGATGCATTTATCTGAAATAAATCATAATCAAAAAATTATCACAGTATATTTATTTGGGAGCTATTACACATGCATCTTATTCTCCAGATTTATCAACATGTCACTTTTGATTGTTTGACTTAACTTTAAAAAATGTAACTGATGAAAGCGACGCAGAATCATAATATGATGCTATATACGAGTTGGTATATCCTTTGAATAGAAAAGATAAAAAATCTTTGAGAAATGCATTCAAAGAATACAATTGTGTATAGATAATCAAGGTGATTGTTTTGAACATTTGATAAAATAAAAAATTGTTTAATTTATATCTGTATTTCTTTCGTGTTCCATTATCATCATTTTTTTGTGCATTGTAAAATATATCGACGGCTTGTTGTTAGACGAGATAAAAAAAAAATATGGAAGAAAGGAAAGGAGAAAAATAAAAAAAACGAAAAGAAAACGTGGATGGTTGATAATGTGCACTATTGATATCAGCTGGAGTGGCAGAAAAAAACAGTTTTATGATAATTTTATTATTATAATATTATCAACACCAACATCGAAATTTATTGAAAATGGCTCAAATCTGATATTTCTCGTTTGGTGAATTGAAGAAGAGACTTTTAGCTCGAATTTTGCCACCGAATCTGGTACAATAGCTCTTTTCCATCAAAGCAATGAAAATTTGGACCCAAAAGATGCTGTTTTAGCTTAGTTATATCTCTTTTTCAGAAGCTTCGAAATCGTAAATTGAAACAGCTAATTCCTTGAAAATCTAAAAAAGAAATTTGTTGGCGTATGTCGTAAGAAATAATATAAAAATTTTCAAGGACTACGAAATGTCTATATTATTTTATGTCTGTTGACGTTATACAATGATAAAAAGCTAAAAGACGATCTTTCAGTTTAAAAAGTTGCCTCTCTTGAATCTGTTGAATATTCTTGTTTTTATAGTTTTACTTTATTTTGTCCTTGACGAAAATATTAATACTTTAACGTGTATTTTTTTTCTTCTTTATAATGCGCAAATATTTTCTGCGCATGGACGCTAGATAGTGATTAGTTCGAAAATATGTACAAAAGTTTAGCTAGTGAGCCATAACGCCGAGGTGAAATAACGAAAAAGAAATGCAAACGGTAAAGAAAAGTACGAAAAAGATATGCGGAGGAGCTGTTAGTATATAATCAACAAATATTACTGATATTTTCATATTTTAAATCAAACATCACAAACGCAGTAAAAAAGGTAAGCAGTATTTTTATTCAATATCATTAACTGTTTGTGTATAATATAAACGAATAAGTTGTTGATACTATGCAAAATTATGAATAATTTATATTATATCTGAGTGACTACAAAATCAATTGAGAAATAGTTGAACTGAAATATATTCGTAAATTATTGAGAATTCATATTCAACTTAGTATTCTCGATGTTAGATAAACTTGATGAATACTTGTCAAATTCGAGTTCGAATATAAACGGACATTCTTCATATCTATATACACATCTTTATATGTATATATATATATGCATATATATGTGCTTTCAGTTATATATTTAGAAATAGGTTTAGATTTATTTATTTATTCATATATAGATATACATATATATGTGGTAGATGAGTTTGGAATAGGTTTAATATTAATAAAAAGGTTTTTTCTACATAAGTACTGTCCTATATTTTGTAGTTACAAGGTTTTTTTAGATAGGAGTAGAGAAAAATTAGTCTTAATTTTATAAAAATATCATTTTTTCGCTAATAATAAATTGTATGTAGATTTTGACAAGAATTTTTATGATAATAGAATATTTCAGATTTACTCAGAAGTGATTTGTTAGTTTCTTTGCTTTTTGAATATATTAAGTTTTTTTCTAAGATTGAGAACATAGGGACAATGATTATTGGTTAGAAATGAATTTTTTTATTTTCGATTTTAAATATATTGTATTTTTTTAATTGGGGACATGGGACATCGATTGCTGGCTAAAAGTGCATTGTTAAATTTTGTATTATATTGCATTTTTGTTTGATGATAATAAGATTAAGAGATTGATTTGATGGGTAAAGAATAATAAAATAAATAAATAAAAAAGTATTTTACGAAGATTTTTTTTCTTTTGTGATTGAGATTTTGCAAGTATTTCGTAGAATTCGTTATATAAGGAAGCGACATGAATATTTTAGTTAGATTTTATTTATTACGTGCAACGATAAAGTGAAGGAAAAAAAATGTGATAAGGAGAACTTAAAATTTACGATTAACACTTAGAAAGAAATGAAAGTCAATAGTTTAATAAACGTGCAGCAATAGAGACGTGCAATTATGTATGCTTTTCTTTTCGCTTTTATAATGTTCGTTGAACTGTTGTTTCTTTTCTAAAATTGTTCATGAGATTGAACAGATGTATTGTATAGAGTAAATGTTTGGTGACCTTGAATCAGATTGTCGTATTTCTAAATTGTATAGAGTAAATAGTTTTACTCTATATCGATGTGTGTTGATCATCAAAACAAAAAGTAATGAAAATGCTATTCAATTTTTGTATAATAATATTTCAATTATAAAAAGAAAATACATCCATTTGTGTAATTAAAAATGTCGTCATAGCTTAAGTTTAATCATTATGTATTTCATAGTAACGAACCCCGATAAATAGAATACAGTTCATTTACACAAGTAACATAAATATTTAATGTTAGTAGATCTCAGTAAATTTTTTCAATATAGAAAATTCAATGAATATAATAATTTAGGAAAGATATGTAATAATATATTATGAGATAACCAATTATTTTATACCTTTATAATACCAAACGTTAAATAAATGAATATCTAATAATTCATGAGCACAAATAAAAACACAAAAAAAAATTAAAATAAAAAATAAGCATATGATACAAAAAGTTTGCCAAATTTTTTAATCATTGTTTTCAATGTATATTTTTTTTTAAAGCTAGTATATAAATAATCTAATCTATTTTAATAGAAAAATCTTTTTCGATATTTTTTTTCTTTTATTTATTTCGTGCATTCCAAACTCAACTAAATTCTCATGTCAACTGTGATATATGTGTAGTTTCAGATATATTTAATACAGATTTAGATTTATTTATTCATCTATCTATATACTAATGTTGAGCGCCAGTGTGTCTGTTACCGGGTCAAAGGCCAAACGTTAAAAAACCAACAGTTTGCATCCTCATAACTTCAGAGTAGGTAGAATCGGTGGAAGCGGGTGACGTAGGGTTAGGGTGAATGAAATACAGTAGGACTGACTGCATGGTACAGGTGCGGGTGAAATAGAGTTAGAGTCGGTGAAATATATTAGGAATGGCTGAAATCGTTAGAACTGGGTGTGGGTGGGTGCAAATGGATGAAATAGGGTAGAAGTGGGTGAACTGGGTGAAATAAGTTAGAAGTGGGTGAGAGATGGTGAACTGGGTGAAATAAGTTAGAAATGAGTGAAACAGGTTAGAAGTGGGTGAAATAAGTTAGAAATGGATCGAAATGAGTGAAACA